CTTCATGCTACAGAAACCGGGATAAGCTCCGGCCTGGTGTGCCCATTGGCTTATATGCAGATTTTATATGCAGACTGTATGTCTACTTAGAAAAATTTAATGGCCAAAGAATAAACTTACCACTCAACATATATCCCACTACAGAAACAAAAGCAACCAGGAGGGCCACATTAGCTGCAAAACTGACTGGACCAAGTTTACGTACACTTCTTATGTATGAAAACAGTATCAACGGTATCAGCGGCACCAGGATAAGCAGACCAAATGCTGGAGCGTGGTTAACCAAATGTGATCTCCCAACTAAGATCGTTGAACTGTTCATATTAGCCAGTGAACCATTAGAAGAGTTTCGTTCTGCTGGTGATGTTGTAGCAATGGGATGAGTCGTGTAAGTTTCTGTAGTTGTTGGAAACATTGATGTGATTGTGTTACCCATAAAAATGAAATAACCAATACAGAAGCCATATTGTGTGGCAAGTAGTGCTACATTGACAAGAAGCACTCCCCACTTGCCAAGAGCAATCCTTCCTATTTCTCCAAAGAGCATTCGTTTCTCAACAGTGTTTCGAATTTGGGTTGTATTTACGTTCTGAGCCTCAACATCCTTTGACTGAGGGACTATGTCCAGGACCTTTTGGACAGCAGRTTTCTTGCACTTGATAATCAACTGACAACAGTGATCAGTGATAAGTGCAATTATAAGTACTCCGACCACACCAAGCTGGGAAAGAAATTATTACGACATTACAGAGATGTTATGTCTATGAATTATGTGTACTTTCAATAAACAGATTTTGTGTATTAATACAGTGTGCCACATTTCCTATGAGATGTCAAAACCCCTTTACATTCCATTTTTAATAGCTGATTCCCATCACAAGGTTCCATGAATTTCTGGGATAATAAGAATGATTTTTGGGTTAGTAACTTGCCCAGCTCTGGTTAACCTGAACAGCACTCTTGTCAGCCTCATCAGAGTTCAGGTTAGCCCAAATAATGCTCAGCTTAGTCTGATTGCATTTAGCTTTCACTAGTGATAATGGTAATGAAATTATAATAACATCCTTAAAGGACTCTTTGACTTGTTTCATTTCATCTCATTTCTTTAGGCCTCTACCTCCTTAAATTCTACATGTATCTATCTATAAGCAGTAATATTCTTCTTACCACAATTCCACTTTGTTTAAATGCAAATGGCAGACCAATCCAGTTGGTTCCAATAAATGCCTTGAAAACATTTGCAAAATCTGTGACTTGTCTGAAAACTGATGGCCTACAAAATGATGATGGAGAAAATTTCATTACACCTTGGTCAACAATGAATGTTAAAGCTGCCACTTCATACATGTCAAACAGAGGAGCACTCAAAAAATATACTCAAAACCTAGGTTTCCCAATTTCATTGATGAGTTAAGAATAACTAAATATCAGGTGGTGAAAATAACTGGCGAGTTTGGAGAGGAGAGTGTCTTTCTCCGGGACATTAAACATACTCTGTGTTATACAGATCTTGGTAATTCATGCTGTGGATCTCAAGCCTGACGCCCAAACCGCCATGTTCATATCAATGGCTTCACCTAATTGAAGTCAAGCTGAGGAATTTTTGGGGAGGCGAGTCTTTCTTTGTGATTTCTGCTTGAGTAAAAGAGAAAGCTTAAGCGGCAAGGACCCCTACATTTCCCTGTAATCAAATCGAACGAGCTTGTTTTAGCAAGTACTCAAGCAGTTTTCTCAACACAGCTGGTAATCTGAATATATCTCACTGTCACCTTACGGTGAGGGGCTACATGCAACAACAAATTCTGCAGGAACTTCCTTGTGAAAGTAAAAAGCTCAAAACAAAACCGTAAGCACGAAATCGATCGAAATCCATGTGGCCATTTTTTTTTCGTTAGCTGTAGTGTTTCAATCAGTGGGAAAAAATCGTACTGTATGCTTTGTCTCGCGTATTTCAGATGTTGAGTAGAGAGAACGACAGATCCCGAGATGGAAGCGAAAACCTTAAAAATATATGCATACGTTGGTTATACTCTGACAAGGAGTAATTTTTGAGTTATTTTACAACTGATTAGTCTCACTTCGATCGATCGCAAGCTCCTCAAAACAAACATTTCCCAATTTTTGGGAATATACCCACCTAATCAGTGGAACACCAGAGGCACTCGAAGGCATTGACTTATATCCTATCCCTGTCATATTTTCTAATTATTTACTCGTATCAGTTACACAGATTCACCGAAAATACGAGTACAGGCAAGTTTTCCAAGCCCTTATCACGTCTTTCTCGCTGTGACCTGAGTTTTCCCAGTAAAATTACTCCCGCTTTATTTATAAGAATAGCAGTCTCGTCATGGAAAAGAGGCTAGTAAAATCACAAGGGTCAACCGGAAGTATCGATGATAGCCAAAAATGCCTTTGTGATGATGTAATGCGAGGATTCCCTGGAAGGACAGATCACTTAGATGTTCATACTAGCTACAATAGTACCGGTTGTTCAGCCAATATTTACTCATTTCAAACATTTTGCTGCAAGTAAATCGCATGAATAGATCCTCGGAACAGAACTTTGGCCACGAAATTGTGAAAGAGGAAATATA